TAACGGGAAGCAAAGAATTCACATTCAATCACTACACAAACCCCATTAGCACTAAATTAAGCAGCAGTTACAAAACAGTGTTCTTTTCAATTTGGTTAAAAAACTACAGAACAAACAATTTTGAGCTTTTTTTTCGCAACAACTGCAATAAAATTTACACCAACAAATCCTGTCCACACTGAAAAACGAATCATTAAAAAACAGAGCTTTATTTTTTTTTGGAGTTTCAATATAGAGCTTTCATAAAAACAAGTTTTACCTCTCTGGGCTCAATAATTTTACTAATTGCAGTAACTATAACTATCCAAATCAAAATTAAAACAAAAAAAAAATCACACTCGATCATGACGAAAGGCTAAACCCTAATGAAGCAAATCAGAAAACAAAATCTTTCAATTGGGTTACTAAAAACCTGCATCAAGAAACGATTCTGAGCATCCGGGCAACATTATTTCATTGATTTGAGAGATGTATGGTTATCAAAATTGGAAAAGAAGATCACAAAAAAAGTTAGTACCTTCTTTTCAGTGTTCTCTTCAGTTTTGCTCATTTTGATTCTCTGTGATTTGGGTATGGGTCCACTAATTTCAACAGGATGATCTTGGCCGTTCTTTTTTGATGACGATGTACTGTTTGTCATGCCCCTTTAACACCACCTTCTTGTTACTAATTTCAACATTGGTGTTGTTGGTTCAATAAAATTAGGGTTTGTTTTCGGCTCAGTTCGATTGGTTGAAGAAATAAGATTGCCTACTGCAGGTTTTAATTACAGATCTATTCCCAGCAAGTCAGATGGAGAGGTATGATGTTAGTGAGGGGTAATTATGTCAATCAAGGAGAGAGTATTAAGTAAAGTTACTAACGAGCCCTTCTTCTAAAGTCGTGGCAAGTTTGATCTGGTGGTTTATACAACTGTATGTTAATGTAGTGTATCTGATTCTTAAGTCGTGTTTGGCTTGTTGGATCGGGGAGACAAAATGAGGAGGATTTGTTTCCAACCCTGAACAGAATTTTTGAGCATGGTGACATCATAAACTGATTTAATAATATTTACTTTTCTATATGTCTAACTCTACTCAAATTTATAGCATAGTAATTGATTTGATCAAATATTATTACTAATATTATCTTAATCTAATCTTATTTCATGTGTATTTTTTTTTATTAACATAGATGTTTAAACTAGTTTGCGTGTATATCAATTATTTTTATAGACCCTCAAGTTAATAATCATATAAGTCTCAAATGATCCTAAAACTTATGGTGATCTTTAAAAATAAATCTAGAATTTTACCAGTTAAATTATATATTTAAAATTTTATTTTTTTGTACTTATTTATTTAGTAGAAGAATATTGTGTATCCTGATTTTAGCATGCATGACATTTATTTATTTTCCTTTTTTATTTGTGAGAACTTCCCATTCTATTCCTTGTTTTATAAACTATAATTATTGGGTTTGTTGTATAAATTTGTTTTTAGCTATAATTATGCTATTATAAAAGGCTTTGGATTATAAATTTTGATATGTATATTGACACGACGAAAAGGTTGATGTCTTCTCCCAAGTGCAGGAGTGTCGAAGTAATAAATAACCCGGCAAGACCGGGGTCGAACCACAGGGAGGTTAATTGTACAAATTATAAACAACAATTATAAACAACAACAGTAGTAACAATAACAACAACAACAACAACAACAATAATAATAATAATAATAATAGTAATAATAGTAGTAGTAGTAATAATAATAATAATAAAGAAAGAGAAGAAGAAGAAGAAGATGATGAGAACTTGGAGATGGAAAATTAATATAAGGATTAAACAATAATAATAACAAATGTCAAGGTTAGAGGTTCCACTAATGGTATATCAAACAAGTATAGTATAAACTCTTATTATTGAATTGGAAACCACACACAAAGGAGGTTCCAATCAGATTATATATTGTTAACATGATTACATTAGTCATCTTATTCAATTAATGCTAATACTTGTAAATCTCGTCAAGCATTCATGATTATAACTTATGTTAACAACAAATCAAGTTCCTTTCATAGCTCAGGTGTCGGTTATACCATACATTATGGGCTATGAAAGTGCCAAGCATTTGTTGTACCAAGTGTTATACAACATAAATCAAGATTAGTCATTTAACAAGCAAAGTATTAAAGAGTGAACAAGATAATAAATATAAAACATGTTAGTATCAAACATTAAAGTCCATATTAAGTTTACATTATACTTATTCTCACACCATTAGTGTAACCTTTTCACCTTGACATAACTAACTTAGCTAGACATAATGAAAGAAAGCAAAATAGATAAACAAAATAAGAACATAAAAGTTAACTAAGTAAAGGAAAGGAAATGAAAGGCATAAACTTAATATTAATGAAAGCAAAGCATAAACATTATAAAAAATACAAAGAGAGAAAGGAAGAGCATGATCTTGATCTGGAAACCAAGATGCCTAAATGCATGGCAAATGCCTCCTTTTATAGGCCAAAATTGGGAACTATTGATTTGATGACTAATTGATAAGTGGGTGGCCAACTTTTGACTTGGTGACAATCCTTATCTTCTCTTGTCTGCCCAAAACATCATTGATAACGTCAAAAATGGAGCCAGGTGCAAACATGAAAGTTGTAGGCAATTGTCTCAGCTTTCTTGTGTAAACAATTCAGCTCATTTGGACTTCTAGAACTCCAGATATGGCCAAAATACCGAACAGTGCTCGGGCTGGAAGACAGATTCGGGCTTCTTTGTTGTTGCTATAATTTGGACTTGATAATGACCTTTTTAGATCTTGGGCTCCATATGAAAGTTGTAGGCCTATGTCTTACCTTTCCATCCATATAAATTGGACCTAAATCTAAGATTTGTAGCTCCAGATATGGCTCAATTACCGAACAGTGTTCCGGTTTGGATTGCACCGACATCTCTTCTCTAAGTTTGACCATCTCTTTATCCATGCAATTTAAGTTCTTCAAGTCATCAATCAATCCTTTCATTTATGTGATAGACCTGCATTAAAAATTGACATTTACCACAAATTATAGGTATCTTATATTATTAGATACATTATTATAAAACATATTTTAGTTAAGGAGTTATTGATACTTCAAGTGCAAAATGATGATATAAAACCATGATAAAAATGCACTTTTAAGTACTAATCACACCCCTCAACCAACTTATTACTAGTCCCTAGTAATTAAAGCGTTAAAACAATTTGCAAATTTCACAAAGCAAGGTATTCATCATTTAACTTCCATTAATCTATCCAGATAAACAAACTCTCATTAAATTTATATATCTGCTCAATACCTCTTAACAAGATATTAATAGACCTTTCTTTTGTGCTCAATGTATCAACACATAATTATGGGGCTTTTCTTGGAAGAAAACAAAATTTTTGTTCTAATGTTTAAGGTTAACTTCCTTGGGTTGGGATTACTATGTTTGTCTTTTTTTTGTCTCTTTTTTTTTAACTCTATATACATATACTTTAAAAACATCATGCATCTTTAACCCATGTAACGAGCTTTCAGCTAATGACTCCCAGACCAGTTGGTCTTAGGGCATTAGGTGTTAAGACACCCCTACGAGCTTAGTAACTCGGGTCGCAGATACTGATATGTAGATAGTGCAATGTTTGATTCCCTTAAGCTTTTCTCCTCAACCCATGTAACAAGCGTTGGGCCAATAGCTCCCAAGTCAGTTGACTTTAGGGTATTAGGTGTTAAAACACCCCTTCGGGCTTAATTGCTTAGGTTAGGGAGGCTACGAAACCAAACTTATCTACATTTTTATTATCATCATTTTTTTTTCTTTAACAAAAGAACTCCTTTACTCTGCCATCTTAGTAACAACAATTATGCACATGCTTTATGAAATGAAAAACAATTTTTTTTTTATCAACTACTACCCTCTCCCCCCAACCAAAACGAGACATTGTCCTCAATGTTCTAAGGTAGAAAGATAGAGTATAAAAGATATCACCTGAAATAACGAACACTGACAAAACCTGAAATACACTGAAACAAAAATAAGAAATAACTAAACATAATAATAAAACCAAAAGACACAAAAATTCACAAATGAAGGCTCAAATCCAATCTAAGCTTTTTACGGCTTCCCGTAGATGACCAATTTATATGACTCATGGAAGGATCAATCACAGGAATGAAAGATTGTAGTTGGTCAATCAATTATTCAGCAATAGTAGCAGAGATTATGATTTGTCGTGCAGAAGATGTTAGAAATTCCTGTTCCACAGCATGATCAAGAAAAGACAACAACTTATCATAATAACCATTAACATTTAACAAACCTATGGGTTTATGGTGAATGTGCAATTGAGCCCAAGAGGAAATATGAAAGATCTCTTCCAATGTGCCTAGACCACCTGGTAAAGCAATGAAAGCATCAGCATGGTTAAACATTGCATTCATTCGAGCCGACATTGTGGAGACCTGAAGTTCCTCTCCAATTGTTTTTCCAATGATGTCCCCTTGTGCCAAAGCTTCAGGGACGACCCCCAAAACTTGACTACCTCCTAAAAATGCAGCTATTGACACACCTCCCATTAACCCAAGATTGCCTCCCCCATACACTAAATGAATCTTTCTCTCAGCTAGCACCTGACCAAGATGATTTGCTGATTCTAAAAACTCCTTTTCTTTCCCAGGACTAGATCCACCGAAAACACAAATATTTCTTATTTGATGACTTGAGGAACTTGCCATTTCTACACACTTCTGTATTTGTTAAATGTATGGGTTGAGTAGAAATGAAAGGAAGGAAAAGAGGGTTTTATAGATGAGAAAGTAGAAAGACAATCATAACATCTACATGTAGGCCAGCTAGAGTCTCACACACACTCTCTCTCTTTTTATTTATTTATTTATTTACTTTTAAAAAAAACATGTGTATGTACAGGTAGTTGTGATTGTGGCTCACATCTTCCCTTGGTTTTACGTCCAAGAACGGCTTAAACGCCCTCTATGGGTCGGGGATAGGCTTCCCATCCAGTTTTCTTAAAAACTGGCAAACAGGGTCTTTTTTAGTCAGATTCCCAAGACTAAGTCGATCATGTTCTTTATGAAATAGTGGCCATAAATAATGAATTGCACGATGCACATCTCCACTAGGATGCGTCTCAAGAGTCAATAGAAGATTATCTAAAGACTCCTTACTCAGGCCATCCTTAATGAATTGTATTTTATCTTCACGGTTTATAGATACCATTCCTAAAGAATGACATTGTGTATTACAAGTCCATCTAGCACATCGATGACAGACATCTAGTCGTTTTGCACGACGCTTCTTTGCAAAAGTGCTTTTACCTGTTCCAGGCATGTGTGAAATGAAGAAGTTAGAGGACTCACCTGATAATCGGACCTTTGCTTCAATCAACCAACGAATATCTTCAGGAATTCCATGATTCATTAACAATCTCAATCTTGCACATCTAGCACGGTAAATTTTTGTAATCGCATTCTGAGGCAAAGCGGGAAAATACTTTTTCAATTTTTCAAGATTAGTGTCCATTTTCAAATGAGAATTAGAAGAGAGATTCAAAGAATTGCACAAATATATACACAAATATCAGTTATTGTGGGAAACTGAAAGAACCGACTTAAGTCACGGAGTACCGTTGTCCGCCATTTGACCGGGGTGAAAGAAACTAGCAAAAATCACTCAAAAAGAAACACAAAAAAACAAAATGTGAGAAAAACAAAATAATCAACCTTTATCTACAAGATCATTCAAACCAGCTGATTCATTTTCACTAGGAAAATTATTAAAGTAAGCTTTCAAACGATGTCCATTTTCCTTAAAAACATTGTCATTCATTGAATTCTCAATATCACAGGACCCATAAGGATTGGTCCATCTTAATCTTAGCTTTTTAGGGAATGCATAGAGTTGAGAATCATAAAACAAAACTTTTTGACCAGTGTCAATTTTTTGACAATTTTCACAAGTTTTGCAGAATGCATGGGTGTCCTTGAACATGGTGGGCCAATAAAATCCATTTTGAAAGATTTTTGCAGCTGTCTTTTTTGACGAGAAATAACTTCCACATGCTTTAGAATGACAAAGTTTAATGACACTACTTACCTCATTGTCGGGAATGAATCTTTGAAATATTTGATCAAGACAATATTTGAATAAGTTAGGGTCATCACAATAAAAGCTCTTCACATCGTTCAAAAACTTTTCTTTGTCTTGAGTACTCCAATCAGTTGGCAAATCTCTTAAAGCAAGAAAATTGATATTTTTATCATACCAAGGTATTGGACTAAGAGAAAGTAAGGATTCGTTAGGAAAGTAATCATCGATTGGTGTGATGTCAGATGTCAAATCTGTTGTCGTTGTTGACAAAAGATTCGCATCAACATTTTCGGTGCTTGTTTCATCCATGATTTCTTCCTTAGAATAAATCATTTGCAAATCTTCAGATTCATCTAACTCATTTTTACTTAAAGTAGATTCAAGTTGATCATAAACTAATTCGTCAATATGATCTACTTCTTGTAAATCATTATCATCTCCAGGTTGCTTGCAAATGTTGAAAATATTCATCTCCAATGTCATGTTTCCAAATGATAGCTTCATCAGTCCATTCCTACAATTAATCAATGTGTTAGAGGTTGCAAGAAACGGACGTCCTAAAATAACAGGAAATGAATTACATGCTTCAACAGGTTCTGTGTCCAAGACAATAAAATCCACAGGATAAATGAATTTATCGACTTGTACTAACACATCTTCAATTATTCCTCTAGGCACTTTTACAGATCTATCGGCAAGTAAAAGAGATATAGAAGTTCGTTTTAACTCACCTAGATTGAGACTCTGAAAAACTGAATATGGAAGTAAATTCACACTAGCACCAAGATCAAGTAAGGCTCTTTCAATTTTATGCTCTCCAATAAAGCAAGAAATTGTAGGACAACCAGGGTCTTTATATTTCAAAGCATTATTGTTTTGAAGAATAGCACTTACTTGTTCGGCTAAAAAGGCTTTCTTTTTCACATTCAATTTCCTCTTCACAGTGCATAGATCTTTCAAAAATTTAGCATAGGAAGGAACCTGTTTAATAGCATCCAACAAAGGTATATTGATCCTTACCTGTTTGAAAATTTCAAAAATTTCAGAGTTGTGATTGACTTTCCTTTGTTTGGTCATGGCATGAGGAAATGAAAGTGCTGGCGGTGAATCAGTCATTTCTTTGCAATTTTTAGATTCAACCCCTTCCTTACCCTCAGAGATTGACTCATCATCTTTCTCATAAGGTTCAAGAGAGGGTTTTTCAATAACCTTACCACTGCGTAGAGTAGTGACTGATTTGACTTGATCCATGTGTTGGCTTCCAGAACTACTTGCATTTGCATTGTATTGCCCTTTGGGATTTTGTTGTGTTTGAGATGGAAACTTACCTTTCTCTTGGAAACTAAGAGCAGATGTTAATTTAGCAAGAGTATCTTTAAAATCTGTCATGTTTTGAGCAAGTTGAGTATTGATTGTCTCTTGCTTTTCAATGAATGCATGCAATGTTTCCTCAAGATTTCTTCTAGGCGGTGGAGCATAAGGAGGTGCATATCCATGAGAATTTTGGAAATTATGATGTGCTTGAAACGGTGGTTGTGAAGTTTGTGCATTGTTGTTCTCACTCTTCCAATTGAAATTTGGGTGATTCCTCCAACCAGGGTTGTATGTTTGGGAGTATGGGTTGTGGTTAGGCCTTTGGAAACTGTTTAAAGCATGGGCTTGTTCATGGAGACATTCCTTAAAAGAAGGCAAGGTTGGACAATCGTTGGTTGAGTGTTCATTTGTTTCATATATTTGACATGCAATGTTTTCAACAAATTTTAATTGACCACTCTTTTTCAATTCTAGTGCCTCGACTTTTCTAGCTAAAGATGCAAACTTGGCTTGAAGGTCATGATCTTCCCTAAGGTTGTACATACCTCCACTAGATGTATGAGGTTGAGTTTTACTCGGTGCCTCATAAGTACATGCGGTGTCCCAATTTTGAGCATTTTCAGCTAACAAGTCTAAGTACTCCATTGCTTCATCAGGGTCTTTATCTTCAAAAGTTCCATTGCACATCAATTCAACCATTTGCCTATCTTTAGGTGTTAACCCTTCATAGAAATGTGAAACCAATCTCCATGTTTCAAAACCATGATGAGGGCAAGTACTAAGCAAATCTCGATACCTATCCCAACATTTGTAAAATGTTTCTCCTGGTTTTTGAGTGAAAGTGGTGATTTGTCTCTTGAAAGAGTTTGTTCTATGAGATGGGAAAAACTTCTTCAAAAACTGTTGTTGCATTTCATCCCAAGCACGAATGGATCCTGGTCTTAAATTTTATAGCCATGTTTTAGCTTTATCTTTTAATGAAAAAGGAAAAAGCTTTAATCTGATGGTGTTCATGCTACAATTTAAATTATTATATGTGTTACAGACCTCCTCAAATTCCCTTAAATGCAAGTATGGATTTTCTAATTCCAAACCATGAAAAGAAGGTAAAAGTTGAATAATACCTGGTTTAAAATTAAAATGAGATGCATCAGGAGGAAAAACTATGCATGATGGTGCACTTGTTCTTGTGGGATTCATGTGGTCTCTAAGTGTTCTAGCACGGTTATTCTCATTATTCTCATTATGAAGTGATTGATTATCTTCTTCGGCCATATTTTCTGAAAATGATGAGGATACCCTACAAAGTCTACCACTTGATGTACGTGACCACACTCTCATGCACGTGTAGGAATAAAATAAAAAAAGAAAATAAAATAAAAAGAAGAAGAAAGCAAAAGAAGGAGGAAGAAAACAAAATAAAAAGAAACAAAAGAAAAGAAACAAAGTTAGAAAAGAGAAAATAAAATAAATACTATAATTTATACAAGAACTTACCTCCCCGGCAACGGCGCCAAAAACTTGACACGACTAAAAGATTGATGTCTTCTCCCAAGTGCAGGAGTGTCGAAGTAATAAATAACCCGGCAAGACCGGGGTCGAACCACAGGGAGGTTAATTGTACAAATTATAAACAACAATTATAAACAATAATTATAAACAACAACAATAATAATAGAAGCAATAATAATACTAATAATAATAGTAGTAGTAGTACTAAAGTACAACAAATGCTTGGCACTTTCATAGCCCATACTGTATGGTATAACCGACACCTGAGCTATGAAAGGAACTTGATTTGTTGTTAACATAAGTTATAATCGTGAATGCTTGACGAAATTTACAAGTATTAGCATTAATTGAATAAGATGACTAATGTAATCATGTTAACAATATATAATCTAATTGGAACCTCCTTTGTGTGTGGTTTCCAATTCAATAATAAGAGTTTATACTATACTTGTTTGATATACCATTAGTGGAACCTCTAACCTTGACATTTGTTATTATTATTGTTTAATCCTTACATTAATTTTCCATCTCCAAGTTCTCATCATCATCTTCCTCCTCTCTTTCTTTATTATTATTATTATTATTACTACTACTATTATTACTACTATTACTATTATTATTATTACTATTATTATTATTATTATTATTATTATTATTATTATTGTTGTTGTTGTTGTTGTTGTTGTTGTTGCTGTTGTTGTTGTTATTATTATTGTTATTGTTGTTGTACTATTATCGTTTATAATTTGTACAATTAACCTCCCTGTGGTTCGACCACGGTCTTGCTGGGTTATTTATTACTTCGACACTCCTGCACTTGAGAGAAGACATCAATCTTTTCGTCGTGTCATTGAACATTTTCTAAAAATTTTCATAGATGATTTTTCTATTTTTGGTGATTCATTTGATGATGTTTGACTAAATTAGAAAAGGTTTTGAGCAGGTGTGAAGAGAAGAATCTTGTGCTGAATTGGGAAAAATATCATTTAATGGTAACGAATGGCATTGTACTTGATCATATTGTTTCATCAAAAGGAACTGAGGTTGACAAATCTAAAATCAAATTAATTATCAATTTGCCAACACCAAAATCTATTAAAGGTGTTAGATCATTCTTAGGACATGCTGCTTTTTATAAAAGGTTCATCAAAGATTTTAGTGTTATATCTAAGTCATTGTGTAACCTTCTAACAAAGAAAAATGCTTTTGAATAGACTGAACAATATAAAAAAGCCTTTGTTAAACTTAAAAACTTGCTTACTTCTGCTCCTGTCATTCAATCTCCTGATTGGTCATTACCTTTTGAAATAATGTGTGACGCTAGTGATTATATCATGGGTGCTGTTTTGGGACAAAGAAAAGATAAGAAACCTTATTTGATCTACTATGCAAGTAAAACTTTAAATAGTATTCAAATGAATTATACCACCACTAAAAAAGAATTACTTATAGTAGTATTTTCATGTAAAAAATTTAGGTTTTATCTTGTCGGCTCACCTGTTGTTGTTTTTATTGATCATGCAATATTGAAATATCTTCTTTCAAAAAAGGATTCTAAGCCTAAACTGGTATGATGGATTTTGTTACTTCAAGAATTTAATATCACAATCAAAGACAAGAAAGGCACCAAAAATGTTGTCGCAGATCATTTGTCAAGATTGACAACATATTCAAGATCTAACATTGCATCAATCGATAACTACTTTCCTAATGAATCCTTATTTTTTGTCTCTACAATACCTTGGTTTGCTAATATTGTTAATTTTCTTGTTTGAGGACATTTGCCAGCTCATTGGAGTACCCAACACAAAAGAAAATTCTTGAACGAAGTGAAGATCTTTTATTGGTATGACCCTTATTTATTCAAATATTGTTTGATTTAGGAGCAAGTGTGAATTTAATACCCTATACTATTTACAAACAATTAGGTTTAGGCGAAATCAAGCCTACTTGAATCACCCTTCAATTAGCTGATAGATCAATCAAGATTCCCAGGGGTATTGTTGAAGATGTGATGGTCAAAGTAGATAAATTCTACTTTCTTGTTGATTTTGTAGTGTTAAACACCACATCTATTCAAGGATCTAATGCTCTCATTCTAGTCATCTTAGGAAGACCTTTCCTAGCTGCATCCAATGCTTTAATTAACTATAGGAATGGGATGATGAAATTGTCTTTTGGGAATATGACATGGAGATGAACATATTCAATGTTTCTAAACAAATTGGTGAACATGAGGACATTAGAGATAGATTTGATCCAAATAGTTTATCAAGAACACTTTGAGAGAGAGTGGATGAAGGATCCATTAGAGAGAACTTTAATTTATGATAAAAGATTTTATTCTATGAAATGTGATGATAAGGATGTAAGAGAGCTCAAGACTTATCTAGATCCAATGCCTATTATGTCAACATGAAGTGCTTAAGCTACTTGATGCAAGTATCATTTATCCCATTGCAAACTCAAAATGGGTTAGTCTAACCCAAGTTGTCCCTAAAACCTCAGGAGTCACTATAGTGAAGAATGAAAATAATGAGCTAGTGCCAACAAGAATCCAAACTGGATAGCATATGTGCATTGATTATCGTAAGTTGAACATGGTGACTAGGAAGGAGCATTTTCCGCTCCTATTTTTAGACTAGGTGCTTGAAAGAGTAGCTGGAAGAGCTTTCTATTGTTTTCTTAATGGATACTCGGGTTACAACCAAATTGAGATTTCCTTAGAAGACCAAGAAAAAACGACTTTCACTTGTCCTTTTGGTACTTATGCTTATAGAAGAATGCCTTTTGGCTTGAGTAATGCATCAACCACTTTTCAAAGGTGTATGATGAGTATCTTTAGTGACATGGTGGAAATGTTTTGGAAGTTTTCAAGGATGATTTTTCAGCTTATAGGGATTCTTATGAGTTGTGTCTAGTGCACTTAGAAAAAGTTCTTGAAAGGTGTGAAGAGAGTGATTAGTACTTAAAAGTGTATTTTTATCAAGGTTTTATATCATCATTTTGCACTTGAAGTATCAATAACTCCTTAACTAAAAGCATGTTTTATAATAACGTATATAATAATATAAGATACCTTTAATTTGTGGTAAATGTTCATTTTAACTGCAGGCCTATCACATAAATGAAAGGATTAATTGATGAATTTAAGAACTGAAATTGAAAAGATAAAGAGATGACCAAACTTAGAAAAGAGATGTCGATGTAGTCCAAACCGGAACACTATTTGATAATTGGGTTATATCTGGAGCTGTAGATATCATATATAGCTCCACTTTATATGGATGGAAAGGGAAGACATAGACCTACAACTTTCATATAGAGTCCAAGATCTAAAAAGGCAACTTTAGGCTTATCAAACTGCTTATAAAACATCATTAGTTATATCACCTTATAAACTAGTCTATGAAAAACCTTGTCACTTGCCTATACAACTTGAACATAAAGCTTATTGGGCTATTAAAGCTTTCAATTCATATCTTAATGATGCTAGTCAGCTGTGGAAATTACAAATAAATGTTTGAGGAAATAAGAAATTATGCATATGAAAATTCAAGAATTCATAAAGCAAGAATGAAAGAGTTTCATGACAAGAAAATACTAAGAAAAACATTCAATGTTAGTCAAAAAGTCTTACTTTATAATTCTCAACTCTATTTATTTCCTAGAAAACTAAAATCAAGATGGAGCAGTCCTTTTATTGTGAAACATGTGTATCCATATGGGGCCTATGATATCGAGAATCCAAAGAATGGTAATGTTTTCAAAGTAAATGGATATCGTTTGAAAGCTTACTTTGATAATTTTTCAATTGAAAATGACTTTATTGAATTAGGTGATCCTTTATATAAAGATTGATATTTTTTTTCTTACATTGATTTTGTGTTTTCTTTTGGTGTGACCTTTGTTTTGCTAGTTTTTTCTCACCTCGGTCAAATGGCAGAAAACAGTACTTGATGAATTAAGTCGATTTTTTCAGTTTGCCATAATAACTGATATCTGTGTATATATTTGTTTAATTCTTTGCCCTTTCTCTTTTCTTTACATCTCCTCTCATTTGAAAATGGACACCACTCTTGAAAAATTAAAAATGTATTTTCCTACTCTGCCTCAGAATGCGATTATAAAAATTTATCATGCTAGATGCGCAAGATTAAGATTGTTAATGAACCATGGAATTCTTGAAGATATTCACTGGCTCATTGAAGCAAAGGTATGATTATCAGGTGAGTTCTACAATTCTTTCATTTCATATATGCTTAGAACAAGTAAAAGCACGTTTGCAAAGAAATGTTGTGTAAAACGACTGCAAGTTTGTCACAGATGTGCCAGATGGACTTGTAATACAAAATATCATTCTTTAGAAATGGTATCTGTAAATTGTGAAGATAAGATTCAATTCATTAAGGATGTCTGAGTAAGGAGTCTTTAGATAATATTCTATTGACTCTTGAGACGCACTCTAGTGGAGATGTGCATCGTGTAATTTATGATTTATGGCCACAATTCTATAAAGAACATGCTTGACATAGTCTTGGAATTTGACTAAAAAAGACCATGTTTGCTAGTTTTTAAGAAAACTGGATGGAAAGCATATCCCCAACCTATAGAGGGCATTTAAGTTGTTCTTGGACGTAAAACTAAGAGAGGATGTGAGCCACAATCATAACAACTTGTACATACACATGTTAACTATCTCTGTACATACACATGTTAAAAAAATAATAATAAAAGAGAGAGAGAAAGAGAGAGAGAGAGACTCCAGCTGGCCTACATATAGGTCGTATGATTGCATTTTCACTTTCTCATCTATAAATTCTTATCTGCCTTCCTTTTATTTCTACTCAACCCACACATTCCATAAATATCAAAGTGTGTAGAAATGGCAAGTTCCTCAAGTCATCAAATCCAAAATATTTGTGTTTTTGGTGGATCTAGTCCTAGGAAAGAAAAAGAGTTTTTAGAATCAGCAAATCATCTTGGTCAGGTATTAGCTACAAGAAAGATTCATTTGGTGTGTCAATAGCTGTATTTTTATGAGGTACTCATGTTTTGGGGTTGTCCCCAAAGCTTTAGCTAAGGGACATTATTGGAAACACAATTAGAGAGGAACTATAGGTCTCCACAATGTCTGATCGAATAAATACAATGTTTAAACATGTCGATGCCTTCATTGTCTTGTCATGTGGTCTTGGAACATTGGAAAAGATCTTTCATATTTCCTCTTGGGCCCAACTTCACATTCACCATAAATACGAAACATGTTAGTATCAAACATTAAAATCCATATGGAGTTTATATTATACTTATTCTTACACCATTGGTGTAACCTTTTCACCTTGACATAATAAACTTAGCTAAACATAATAAAATAAAAATAAATAAATAAACAAAATATAAATATAAATAAGATAAAAGTTAACTAAGTAAATGAAAGGAAATGAAAGGCATAAACTTGATATTAATGAAAGCAAAACATAAGCTTACAAAAAATACAAAGATAGAAAGAAAGAGCATGATCTTAATCTGGAAACCAAGATACCTAAATCCATGGTAAATTTCTCCTTTTATAGGCCAAAATTGGGAACTATTGATTTCATGATTAATTGATTAGTGGGTAGCCAACTCTTGACTTGATGACAACCCTTATCTTCTCTTGTCTGCCTAAAATGTCATTGATAACGTCAGAATTAGAACACTTGAAAACATAAAAGTTTTAGGAAATTGCCTCAGCTTTCTATAAAAAAAAATGAAGTCATTTGGACTTCTAGAACTCTAGATATAGGCCAAAAACTTAACAGTGCACGGGCTATAGGACAGATTCGGATTTCTTTGTTGTTACTATAATTTGGACTTAAAAATAGCCTTTCTAAATCTTGGGCTCCATATGAAAGTTGTAGGTCTATATCTTAACTTTCCATTAATATAAAGTAGACCTAAATCCAAGATCTACAGCTCCAGATATGACCCAATTACTGAATAGTGTTCCAATTTGGACTACACCAACATCTCTTTTCTAAGTTTGGTCATCTCTTTGTCCTTTCAATTTCAGTTCTTAAATTCATCAATCAATCCTTTCATTTATGTGATAGGCCTACATTTAAAATGAACATTTATCACAAGTTAAAGGTATCTTATATTATTAGATATGTTATTATAAAACATGCTTTAGATAAGGAGTTATTGATACTTCAAGTGCAAAATGATGATATAAAGCATTGATAAAAATGCACTTTTAAGTAATAATCACCTCTTAACCAATAAGCTTTCAATTTGAAACTAGGCATGATCCAACTTCTTCCCATATATCATGGTATGGATTCTGAAAATCTATATATACACATTCAGGACTTTGAAGAGGTATGTAATACTTTTATTGATAGAACATGCACCGAGGAAACCATTCGGCTTAAATTGTTCCCATTCTCTCTAAAGGATAAAGCCAAGCTTTCACTAAACTCCTATGTCCTAGGTCTATAGGTACAAGGAGGGAAATGCAAGCTGAATTTAAAAAAAAAAAATACTTCCCCACTCATAGGACGATAGCTTTACAATGTCAAATGATGAATTTTTCTTGTAGTCCAAATGATTCATTTCACCAAGCTTGGGAAAGGTTCAAAGACTTGTTAAATGCATGCCCTACTATGGTTTTGAGAAGTGGAGGTTAGTGAGTTTCTTCTACGACTCTCTTACCATAGATTTTAAAAAGCTAGTGTCAACCATATGTAATAATGAGTTTTATGACAAAGAACCAAGTAAAGCCTTTGATTTTTTTGATCAATTAGCTGAAACCACAAAGCAATGGGAGACCTCTCTCCCACTCCATATTGAGTCTAAAAACACCATTTCTCATTCAAGTGGTAAGTTCTAATAAAAAAAGACTAATGACTTCAATGCTAGATTAGCCTCATTCACTAGGAAAGTAGAGTCTCTTGAGCTTAAAAAAATACATGTCATGAGTGAACAACAAGAGGAGAGTTGTGTTGTGTTGTAAGTGAGAGCAAAGGGCATAGGATAACTGAATGTCCTACCATTCCAGCCTTCAAGGAAGTGCTATATGGCCAAACTTCTCATTCAAGTAATGTTAGAAAGCCTTTTTTAAGCCAAGTAGGCAATTCCTACTCTGATACCTATAATCCTGGATGGAGGAACCACCTAAATTTTGGATGGAGAAATGAGGGCTCTTCAGTACCTCAAACATTTCAACCTCCACCCCAACCATTTCATGCTTCCATACATAACACGTATTAACCACCTCATAAGAGATCCCTAGAGGATACTCTTTAACAATTCATGCAAACACAAGGAGGAATTAACAACCAAGCTTATAAATTTCAAGACTAGACCAATAAGACCTTAGATGACATTCGAAGTCAACTAACTAAATTGACCCAATCACTAAGCATTCAAGAGAAGGGAAAACTCCCAGCTCAACCAATGCCCAATCCTAGAGGTCAGGTACATATGAGTGAATCCTCACCTAGTGAACCTTCAAACCATGAACAAGTCCAAGCCATCACCACCTTTAGAGGTGGAAAGATTGTTGACAAAGGTATAGGTTTTGGAATTCCTAAAGGTATTGTGGAGGAGAAATCTAGGGAAAGTGAAGAAGGAAACAAAACATATGTGACAAATGAGAGTTTGAGTGAAAAGGAAGGCAAGATAAATGAGAGAGAAATGAGTGAGAAAGGAGATGATTCAAGAAAAATTGGAGTTAAAGTGAGTGATTTAGAATTTATTCCTAGAGCACCATTTCCACAAAGGTTAGGGAAACCTAAACATGATCTTATGAACTCAGAAATCTATGAATTGTTCAAACAAGTGAAAGTCAATATTCCACTCCTTGATGCAATTAAACAAGTTCCATCTTATGCAAAGTTTCTTAAGGATTTATGCACAGTCAAAAGGAGATTGAATGTGAAAGAAAGAGCCTTTCTAACTGAACATGCTAGTGCCATCATCCAGTTTAAGACCCCTCCCAAATACAAAGATCCTGGTTGTCCTACCATTTCATGCATTATTGGAAGTCATAAGATAGATCAAGCTTTGTTGGATTTAGGAGCAAGTGTGAATTTAATACCCTACACTGTTTACGAACAATTAGGTTTAGGAGAAATCAAGCCTACTCGAATCACCCTTCAATTAGCTGATAGGTCAATCAAGATTCCTAGGGGTATCGTTGAGGATGTGTTGGTCCAAGTAGATAAATTCTACTTTCCTGTTGATTTTGTAGTGTTAGACACCGCACCAATTCAAGGTTCTAATGCCCCCATCCCAGTCATCTTAGGGAGACCTTTCCTAGCTACATCCAATGCCTTAATTAACTGTAGGAATGGGGTGATGAAATTGTCTTTTGGGAATATGACTGTGGAGATGAACATATTCAATGTCTCCAAACAAATCGGGGAACATGAGGACATTAGAGAGGTAGATTTCATCCAAACAGTTTGTCAAGAACACTTTGAGAGAGTGTGGATCAAGGATCCATTGGAGAGAACTTTAATTCATGATGAAAGATTTTGTTCTTTGGAATGTGTTGATGAGGAAGTAAGAGAACTCGAGACTTATCTAGATCCAATGCCTATTATGTCAATAGGTCAATGGACCCCATCATTTGAGCCTTTGATTTCACCCCAAGTGAAAGTTGAGGAATCTCTTGTCCAGCCTGATAAACTAGAAAGGAAGCCTTTACCGAGTGATCTTAAGTATGCATTTCTAGGGGAAGATGAATCATATCCTATTGTGATCTCATCAAAACTTAGCATAGAGCAAGAACACAAACTTTTGAGAGTGGTGAGAAAACACAAGAAAGCAATTGGGTGGAAAATTACTGACTTGAAAGGAATTAGCCCTCTTTTATGTACACATAGAATCTATCTTGAAGAAGAGGCTAAATCTGTGAGGCAAATGCAAAGACGATTGAACCCAAACATGAAGGAAGTAGTGAGAGGTGAAGTGCTTAAGCTACTTGATGCAGGTATCATTTACCCTATTGCAAACTCAAAATGGGTTAGTCCAACCCAAGTTGTCCCAAAAAAATCTGGAGTCACGGTAGTGAAGAATGAAAATAATGAGCTGGTACCAACTAGAATCCAAATGTCTGCCCAAAAAGTCATTGATAACGTTAAAATTGGAGGCAGTTGAAAACATGAAAGTTGTAGCCAATTGTTTCAGATTTCTTGTGTAAAAACTTCAGCTCATTTGGACTTCTATAACTCCAGATATAGCCAAAATATCGAACAGTGCTCGGACTGGAAGACAGATTCGGACTTCTTTGTTGTTGCTACAATTTGGACTTCAAAATGGTCTTTTTAGATCTTGGTTTTCTATTAAAGTTGTAGGCCTATGTCTTACCTTTCCATCCATATAAATTGGACCTAAATATGAGATTTGTAGCTCTAGATATGACCCAATTACCGAACAGTGTTCCGGTTTGGATTGCACCGACATCTCTTCTCTAAGTTTGACCATCTCTTTATCCATGCAATTTAAGTTCTTCACGTCATCAATCTATCCTGTGAAGTATGTGATAGGCCTGCATTTAAAATGAACATTTACCATAAATTAAAGGTATCTTATATATTTAGATATATTATTATAAAACATGCTTTCGTTAAGGAGTGATTTTCGGTCCAAGAGCAAAATGATGATATAAAACCATGATAAAAATGCACTTTTAAGTACTAATCACACCCCCTCAACCAGCTTATTACTAGTCCCTAGTAATCAAAGCGTTAAATAGAAAAACAATTTGCAAATTCCACAAAGCAAGGTATTCATCATTTAACTTCCATTAATCTATCCAGATAAACAAACTCTCATTAAATTTATATATCTGCTCAATACTTCTTAACAAGATATTAATAAACCTTTTTTTTGTGCTCAATGTATCAACACATAATTATGGGGCTTTTCTTGGAAGAAAACAAATTTTTTGTTCTAATGTTTAAGGTTAACTTCCTTGGGTTGGGATTATTATTTTTGTCTTTTTAAAAAAAAATATATATACATATAATTTAAAAACATCATGCATCTTTAACCCATGTAACGAGCTTTCAGCTAATGACTCCCAGACCAGTTGGTCTTAGGGCATTAGGTGTTAAGACACCCCTACGAGCTTAGTAACTCGGGTCGCAGATACTGATATGTAGATAGTGCAATGTTTGATTCCCTTAAGCTTTTCTCCTCAACCCATGTAACAAGGGTTGGGCCAATAACTCCCAAGTCAGTTGACTCTAGGGTATTAGGTGTTAAAACACCCCTTCGGGCTTAATTGCTTAGGTTAGGGAGGCTACGAAACCAAACTTATCTACATTTTTATTATCATCATTTTTTTTTCTTTTTTTCTTTTTCTTTT